GCTACTTTGAATGGAATTTTTTAAAATACCACTGTTGCTACCATGCAGAAAGACAACTGATTTTTATATATTAATGTTGCATCCTGTGACTTTCATGAACTCATGTATTATTTTTGTCAATATATTCACCTTTGCCAGTGTTCCTCATTTCTTTTTGTGTTTCGGGTCTTGTCTGGGTATCACACGCTTTTATTTTAAACAATTCTATAGAATTTGTTGTAAGGCTATTTTGTTAGAATACCTTTAAATGTTTTTACTTTATTTTATTTATTTTTTGAGTCAGGATCTTATTCTGTTACCCAGACAGGCTGAAGTGCAGTTGCACAATAGCAACTTACCACAGCCTCTACCTCCTGGGCTCAAATGATCCTCCTACCTCAGCCTCCTAAGTAGCTAGAACTATAGGTATGTTCCACAATGCCCAGTTAATTTTTTAATTTTTTTGTAATGTTGAGGTCTTTGTTGATCAGGCTGTTTTTGAACCCTTGGGCTCAAACAATCCTCCTGCCTTAGCCTCCCAAAGTGCTGAGATTACAGACATGAGCCACTATGCCCTGCTGAAAATGTTTTTATTTCACCTTAATTTTTGTAAGATTTTTTTTTGCTAAAAAATTATTGATTGATATTGATTAATGGAAGTTTTTTCCAGCACTTCGAGCACATCATTCCATTGCCATTTGCCTATGTTTCTCCTGATATAAACTTAGCTAATAATTTCATACCCCTTAATTCCCATTAAACACTCTCCTGAGAGAGACAATATTTACTATTGAGTATTTTAGAAAAAAAAAAAAAAAGCTTGCTTATTTATTTCCAAATAGTGCTAGGTATCCTGGTTCCTGGAGTGAAGATTATATGGATTAGAACCCCCAATAACCAAAATGGGTATGTAAGGTGAGAGGAAAAATTAATGTTTGGCTATTTAAGTCATTAAGATTTTGGAGTTATACACAATAAATATATACAATTTTATCTATAATTTAAAAAGTCTATCAAAAATATTTTAAAATGTGCACTAAAATTTTTTAAAGGAAAAAAGATTTTGGAGTTGTTTTTTGCTATAACGTAACATAGCCTTTGCAGACTAGTGTAGAAATTGATAAGTAGAAGGAGGGTGCTTCCACTGCAAAAATAATAACTGTTATTTTATTGGGGCTTTTATAGACCATATAAAAACTGGTACCTAGAAGGAAGGTTCTTTCATAACAAAAATAATAAAATAAATGTTATTGTATTGGGAACAGATATTAAGAAAGCTTTTCTGAAAGGCTGGAGAAAAAAAATCAATCCCTATAAACAGTGGTGAAAAATTGTTTAAAAAAAAAGTTATATGAAATAAATTTGAAAGTTCCTAATGCACCTAAAATTTATAGCTTGAAGGTTACAATTTGAAATTAAAAGTTAGCATAGTGTTTATTAGTGACCACTGGCTGCATTTGAAAAGGTATTTTAAGAGGGAGATGAACTCATTAAATAGTTCACAAGCTGAAATAAAAGAGAATAGAGTCCAGAAATTTGAAGATTTTCATGGTTAATAAAATGAAAATCTCAACTACCACCTATAAAGAAAAATACTGAGAAATCTTTTGAGGAAAATGATGAATTATCTCAGTGTTGCCTAGAGAACCAAAATTACTAGAATGACTGACACACTTATTGTTAAAACTTCCTAATGGTATAATTTATTTCAGAATGAAGATCAAAATAAGGTTGTGGAGACCAGTAAAGCCTTTCAATTAGACGAAGTGTTCAAGGAAAGTGAAAATGTGGCTGAGCCTGATTAGGTCAAGATACCCAAAATTAGAATGTTTTCAGTCTGTCTTCTTTCACCTGTCATATACAGTTAAAGTTTCTCCAGGTCTTTCAATAGCTTCACAGCTACTTTTAAAAACAATACTAACATTTCATTGCTTGGATGTAATACAATTTATTTATCAATTCACCTACTGAAGAATATCTCAGTTCACTTTTAATTTGGGTAATAATGATTAAAGTGCTATAAAGATCCAAATGATCTATTATACCTGCTATATTATTAGGTTGGTGCAAAAGTAATTGCAGTTTTTGCCAATAACTTTTAATGGCAAAACCCCAATTACTTTTGCATCAACCTAATACTTAGTATTCTACTATAGAGAAGAGCTTTCCCTTCATTCATTTCTATTTGTTGTTTTTTTAGCATTTAGTTCCAGAGTCATAGATTCTTTAGTGCAACATGTTATTACAATCATGTTATATTTCCACATACAAATTTATGTTTTCAGCAATGATCACAAGCAACTGTACATAAGATGATGTTCTTTGAGGAATGCTGTTTGGTATCTCACACAAGTAAGAAAGCTGCAATTTTAAATCAGCTGAAATAGGAAAGAACAGCATCTATTGGAGCCCCCAAATTAGAGCTTAACCACTTTGCAAACACCATAGTCATAATTAACATAGGCAAGCATCATTAAGGTATACTAAAACTACTATGTGAAAAGTCAGTTAAAGAATAGTATACAGCCAGGCGTGGTGGCTCATACTGTAATTCGGGAGGCTGAAGTAGGAGGATCTCGAGTCCAGGAGTTTAGAAACCAGCCTGAGCAACATAAAGAAACCTCTCTTTTCTACAAAAAGAGAGAGAGAAAGAATTTTAAAAAGAAAAAATAGTATGTTTGTGTCGACCTGAATCAAATCATTGGGAAATAATCAGACAACCTCCAGTTGGGGGACATTTTTATAAAGCCCCTGGTCTACAGTGTCAATGCCTGCTACCCTGTCGTAGCTCCACTGTTTATCAGCAACCTGCTTTCTCCTGCATAATGAGTGTCGTCTTCCCCCATGCCTTCATTTTCTACATCGGTATCTCAGACAAATGGTTTTGAAATAAATGTCATAAAATCTTGTCCATGTTACTTGTAACTTCTATAGTGGTAATACAATATACTTGAAAATACATATTAATTGATTTGCAATCAACTTACATAAATGCAAGAGAGAGAATTTACTCTGTCTTTTTCTCCTCCTCTCGTCTCTATACAATATAAATGTTACATGTATTTTGCAAGATCACATTGCTATGGGGCTGTCATTCTGAGCTGTTCCAGCGAGTAAAACCAATTCTTTCCCATCTCCCCTGCAGACAGTCAGCTATCTGACAAGCTGGTTTCTTTCCTTACCTGTATGTAACAGCTTAAAGCATCAGAATATTTCAGCCTGACTTTTTAATTATATAGCTTAGCAAGCCAACGTATTCAGGAGGTGTACTTAAATATTCAACCTGAAACGAACTGAGTATAAAAGTAAGCTACTAACTGAAGTAACTTTACTTGATATATTTGCCATAAGAAGTGACAATTCATCCAATTAGTTTGCAACACAGAAGCCATTCTGAATTATTTCCCTCTGCTGTGTGTTTTTGTCACAGTAATGGTGCATGTAGCATCCATTGATACACATTGTGTCTATGAAAGGATAACTTCTACCAGCCAACATTTTAACAAGTATTTTTTTTTCTGTGCCTAATGATATGCATAAGGTATTGTATTAAGCCTGTGGATGACCCAGAACATCAAAATGATATATTTTGGGACAGTATGACATGCCTCCAGTACCTAACACCATGCAGCAGTTAGCCATCAGTGACCTCTGAGTTCCAGAAGACAGGTTTCAAGAAAGGTGCAGTTAAGGTTGTGCAGCCCCACCCTCTCCTATCTTTCCTAAAAATGTATCAGCGTGCCACTGAGAGAATAAGATGATTAAGGATAACCTGGAGTTCACCCCAATTATCATTTTAGAAAAGCAAATCATTGGCAAATTTTGGAAGTTCAGCTGGTTTGGGCAGCAAATGTTTATATGATCCCACTGATTATAATCCAGGCAATTGTACTGCTGTGCTTTGTTGTGACTCATCGGGTTGGACCAGTTTTCAAAGGTTTCCAAAGGGGCTGAGACTGATACCAGACCTTGAAGGGTGAGAGAATTCAAAGGAACAAAGGAAGACTGAGAGTTCTCTGTGTCTGGGGTTAGGACAAGGGAACAACCTGGGGAATTCAGGAGTAACTGCTGCACATGTAGATTATGAGATGAAGTCCTAGAAGGATTTTTTTTTTTTAATGGAGTCTTACTCTGTCACCCAGGCTGGAGTGCAGTGCGGTGGTGCTATCTCGACTCACTGCAGCCTCTGCCTCCTGGGTTCAAGTGATTCTCCTACCTCAGCCTCCCGAGTAGCTGGGATTACAGGCACCCACCACCACACTCGGCTAATTTTTGTATTTTTAGTTAAGTCAGTGTTTCACCATGTTGGCCAGGCTGGTCTCAAACTCCTGGCCTCAGGTGATTATTCTGGCTCAGCCTCCCAAAGCGCTGGGATTACAGGCATGAACCACCTAAACAGATGTGTTTAAAGCAAACTGAGTGCAGACTATAGTATTTGATTTCTTCTTTAGGCAAAGCAGCAGGTTTTCATTCAAACTTTTCTATTTTTACTGCTGTCATGTAATGCATTTCAATTGTCTTTGGAAGAGTTATGGGAAGTAGGAGGAGAAAGGAGGAAAGTCACGTATGGTAAAGATTCAGACGGTGTCGATAAGTTTGCTTCGCGGGCAACAACAACAAAATAAAAATTGGAAAAATGAGATTGCTGAGCCTTTGTGTTATTTGCTGCTTAATGGAATGTTGGCTGAAAACAGCAAAATAAATATTTCATTTTACCCAGCATTGCTTAAAAAGTAAATAAGGCACAGAGCCCATCTAAGACAATTGCTGTGGCAGTATGGGGTAGATATAATGGGCTTCAAGCAGCATAAAGTTTAAGCTAATATGCTTGGACTTAGGAGTTTATATCTTCCTCTCCCCTGAAACAGCCTCCTATATGATTCCCATAAATAAAATCATCTCAGTGGGTTTCGCAAACCACTGTAAATAAGTGCAGGTTCGCCTTAAAACTCCAGCTACATATTCAAGCCAAATCAACACCCTTTGCTAATAGAGATATTCAAGAAAGATAAAACACCTACCTCAAAGCCCGAGCGCTGGGTTGGTGCTATTTCATGTCAAGGCAATTACAGTGATGGTATTAGGAAGATCAGGGCGGGAGTGGTGTTGTCATACCTGGGAAGGGAAAGCAAGCCTTTAAGCAATCATGTAGAGCATGCGGGACATCGTAAAGCTGGGGAAGGAACAAAGCTTCGCGCTGTCGGAATATTGATCTGCTCCAGAAGGTGCAGGGAACTGCACTACGGTGATTGCCTTCCCCGCTGGGTTTAGAGAGGTCTGAAAGAATACAGTATTGATCTGGCCCCGTTCCCGAGAAGTAACTTACAGATAAGCCGTGACTGAAGGCCACCAACCTTGAGACAAACTGTCGCAAAGAAACCCCGTTTGCCACACAGCCAACATCCGAGCTAATGCTGAGTGGGTGATGATTAGAATATACTTAAGCTGGGCCCAGAACAAGCTGACTCTGTGCTTTCTCCCTCACCTACATCACAGGTGTCTCCCATTTCTGAAAGAGGTAAAACCACGGGCTGGGTGGAGAGGAGGGCAAGGCACAGCGGGAGTTCCACGTGGGAAGCTGTTATATATCAAGGAAGAAAGATGGGAGTTTCTGAAGTTCTGCTTGTTTGTTTGAAACCACTCACAGCTTCATGTACTTTATCTTTTAAATGGGAATAATAATGCCAATTTCACAGCTCATGGTCTGGATTCCAGGCGATAAATAAACCTACTTAGAAAATGGCATCTCTGGCCGGGCACAGCGGCTGACATTTGTAATTCCAGCATGTTGGGAGGCCAAGGCAGGTGGATCACTTGAGGTTAGGAGTTCAAGACCACTCTGGACAACAGGGTGAAACCCCGACTCTACTAAAAATACAAAATATATTAGACATCTCTTAATAATCGGGGTGTGGTTTGGAGGGAAACGAGGAATCCTTATCATCTACTGTCTGCTTCATCTGAGAAAGACTCTCTTTCAGCTATTAAAATTCTATGACTCAAAAAAGAACATTTTTCAGAGAAAGGGAAAGCTTCCACAGTTCTGCTTCCAAAGCTGTGTGTAGAACTCATTTGCCAGTGAGTCTGTGTTTATTACCAAACCTCAAGTTCAAACTTGGAAGTAAAAATACACTCTCCTGAAAATTATTCTCTGACATGCCACTCAGCTGCTCATGGTTTCCTGGTGGAAATTACTGTAACCACAGGATTTCACATGGTTTCAACCTCTAGCCACAAGTTAAAATTAGCCAGATGTTACTGAGAAGTTAGGGAACTAGGCTGTTTATATTTGGATCTGGTTACACACTCAGTATAACCAGATCCAAATATAACAATTCACTTGCAATGAGATTTTAGGGTATTGCAACTTGATTTTCCCCATGTTAAGAATATTCCATTGGCTAAAAACGATGGCTCCAAGGTCATTACTCCTTTGGGAAACAGAGCCCAATAGTTCTGCCATGGTTCTATAAATCCTCATCCTGTGAAGGACAACATTCTCACTCTGACGTACATTGTGTGTAAAACAGGGTACATCCCTACAACCCAGTACCAAGGATTTTACAAGTCACATATCCAAAAACAGACCTGGTGTCCTGGGTGTTTTGTCTTTCTCAATCATCAGGTCATCGTAGCTATGATGTAACAGTTTCATCATTTCAGCCTATTATGGAAACAATGACTTGTGCAAGAGTGTTTAGACAAAAATGAATTTTGTAACATTGCTTCACTTCAAAAATTACAGGTAGACATGATACTAGTTCCAACTCTCCAGCAGTGAGGAGATCTAGAGCAAAGCCACCTGCATGTCTTCAGCACTTCAAGATCAGGAATATATCAGCAATAACATCTCACAATTTTCCAAGTGCTCCCTCCCTATGCATTGTCTTCTTCCTCCCACCCAAGGTCCCCGGGGTGGGTGTACACATTCATCCCTGCTTCATTTGATCCACCTCTGCTTGGCCACTGCTGGACTTTTTCCCAGGCAAAAGGAGAACCCCCAGGAGAGTGAATACACTGGACCAAGGAGCTGCAGAGGCAGTTTGATTTCACCACAATCATTTCATCTCTCTTAGCAAAAACCCCTGGGCTTGCCCTGTAGTACACACACCTGCCTTTGTTCACGCAGCTCAAATAGAACACTCCTCCTTCAAAATTTAACTCAGCTGTTGGAGACATTTAAAGGAAATGTGGCCTATAATTATTCAATGTGAGATGCAAGATGTTGAATCCTTTGTCCAAGGTAAATATTTAATCTTTTAAAGTTTCTAGGAGATATCTTTGAAGCTGTGATCAAATTTGTAAAGCCCAATAAAAATATATACTAAAAATGTATCTGCCATGAGAATAAAGGAAGTTTATTAAAAGCATTAGCACTCATCTCTCTTGGAAGCACACCATTAGTCAGTCCTACACCTCTTGTATGCTACCACGCAATCGATTTTCTGAAATTTATTCATATTAAAAAGTCGTTTTAATTATCTTCTTTTCAGGAGGACACGATTTTCAAAACTAGCATGTTTCAGGACCAAGATTCCCAATCTACAAAGGTAAAAATGCACAGCCACTTAAAAACTCCCTACAAATAAATTTTTTAAAGTGCCGAATGTGTCGTAAATAGAAACCCCCTCGCACAGCAAGCCTGCTGCCTCCCTGACATCCCATGTATGTGAGCACAATAATTACCCATGTGATAAGAGCATCAAGGTCCTTTTTTATATCTTTCAGCCCTCCTTTTTTCTTCCTTCCCTAGCTTTGCTGTTGTAAGAGAAGTCAAGGTGAAGGGTTTAATGCCTCTGAAGCTGGGGCAAGAAAACAATCGCCTTCTCCAATGGTCAGTAAAGAATACAAGGGCACAGTTAAAACAGAGCCACTGAAGTGAACAACCTTGATGCGACCAACAGGAGAAACACCCCCTCCAGGTACTCCCCACAGGGTTCCCTTTTGGTTGCAAGGCCAGGAAGGTCAGCCCATCTCTATGGCACTCCCTTTCAAGTGTGCGGGCTGCACGCCAGCAAGCAGGTTCCGCATGACTGCTGGTGCGCAGGGAAACTCCTCAGAGAGAGACCCCTGACCCACCAGAGGGGCAAAAACCAAAGCAGGGATCAGGCACTTTATTTCAAGAGTATGTGTATGTGTATGTGTGTGTGTATGCGTGTGTGTGTGTGTGTGTGTGTGTGTATGTGTGTATGCTACAAAGGCAAAGGAGGCCTTTCAAATCTAGAAACACTATACACGTACACATATTAGGCAGAAGTAAAATGGGAAACAGAAATAAGAAATCACCTTTGCACTGTTAAATAACTTATAAGATACTGAGAATTATCAGTGGCCCTGAAGGGTTGAAAATTTCTATTTTAATTGTATCCCACTGTTTTGAAGGAACAGAGTAAATATAACAAGATTTATACTTTTGCATGTAATATACAATTTTCCAGATAAGCTCTTCTCTCTAGGCTGGTGTCCTTCCATCAGCATTTGATACATGAAAAGTTGAATACCAAAAATGCTAGAAAATGGCCGGGTGCAGTGGCTCACGCCTGTAATCCCAGCACTTTGGGAGGCTGAGGTGGGCAGATCACCTGAGGTCAGGAGTTTGAGACCAGCCTGGCCACCATGGTGAAACCCTGTCTCTACTAAAAATACAAAATTAGCCGGGAGTGGTGGCACATGCCTATAATCCCAGTTCCTTGGGAGACTGAGGCAGGAGAATCACCTGAACCCAGGAGGTGGAAGTTGCAGTGAGCCAAGATCGTGCCATTGCATTCCAGCCTGGACAACAAGAGTGAAACTCCATCTCAAAAAAAAAAAAAAAAAAAAAAACAAAAGCTAGAAAACGCCATTCTTGCTATTGGGCAGAAGATTCTGCCTGCTATAGATGCACAGTGCTATGGTCTTTTGCTGTATTATGCCTCCTTGGCTGCTTACAGCTTCCTTGATGAGCCGAGTCAGCAAAATCATCATAATATGTGGGTGTCCCTAGCAGGTTTCTGAAGCTAGAACTTGGACCTAAACATTCCCTGTTTGCAAAAGAGCAGCAATTATGTTGCCTTGCAAGCAGTCTTGCTCATAAGCCAATGACTGATGAGCATCTGACACTATCAAGCAGCTCTTGGAACGCCTTGGAAGATGTTTCAGATGCTGGGTGTGTTGCTGAGCACTGTGGTTATATTCCATTTCTGCATCGACTGAGAGGCTCTGAGTTGAAAGAAATTAGAGTCTTGCTGTGATGAAAGTGTGGGGGCGATTGAGCTTAGGCTGGAGAATCTTTGTGATGGGGATACTATAAGCAGGCTCAAGCATCATGCCTTCATTCAGTAAATATTTACTGAGCTTCAGCTTTATATCAGTCCCTGAATATACTACAATGTGATGGACACAGCCCAGCCCTCATGGAGCTCACATCCTAGGAAGGATGGTGACATGAGACAGGTCACTCTCCTTGTGTTGAGCCCCCTTAAAAAAAGAGATGGATATCAATGGAGCATATAAGAAAAGCAAACCTAGGCTGAGGAATAGGGAAAGCTTTCTGGAGAACAGGGTGTTTACATGATAAAGGAAGAAAATTAATGTATATTTGACTTATAAACCTCATTCGACTACTTCTTTATTATGACTATCAGATGTATCTGTGTAATAATTTCCACACTCATTTTCTCCTTTCCAACCCTGCACTGACTTATCTTTTGTTAGCTATCACAACACACTAGTTAGATTTGAAATCTCTCTTTCAATTAAATTTGGAAATCCCAGCAGGGAAATGTTCTCAGTAGCCTGTCTGAATAAGAATAGAAAAAGAATTGTATTTTGACATCTATAATCAAACCTCACAAAATAGCCCCAATTGATTTTAAAATTCACACTTCAACTATATATTACATTTATATTTTCAACAGCACTAGCTCTGTAACACTTTACATCTTACTATCATTTTCTAATTTATTGCCCTTACAAAATTCTCTAATGATTATGAAATTGACAAGATGAATTTTAAGCAGAAATGGGCTTCCTTTTTTCACAAAATTTGGGACATTAAATTCTTGCTTTATTGAACTAACAAAAAAAGGTATCCAATTTTGTGTAGATACGGCTTAAGGTGGTTGCAGGTATAGTCT